TGACTAAAGTTGTACATGTAGCTTGTTGTATACTCTTCATATAATTACAAACAGTAGAGACTATCAATGTATATCCCATATGCAATTCTAATAAAATTTCTTCAGCAATGTAAGCCACCTTAATAACAAAAAAAAAAAAGAATATATTATATATCCTAATTGATATAGTATAGTAATATCATTTTATTATATCTCAGAACTAGTATCGCTACTGCTGTGTACTATTTGCATACAATTAACTCAAGTAGTATCTATGAATGAGGATATTATTGTAGTGTTTTAGTCTTATAGCCTGTAGTAGCTAGTTCTCTGTGAGTATTATATAGGTGAAGAAGTTATGTGATAAGGTATTATAAAGTAGAAGCAGGTGATTAATGATGAGGAAAAGTGGATTACACAAGTCATCCAAAAGTTCAGACAATGTAATTGCTAAATTAGTATAAGTATATAAAAATTTTAAGATTTTGAAAATCTTATTGTCTTCTTTTTTATTAATTTTTACTCTTTTTATTTTTTTAAAATAATTGAGACTTGGACTTGTCTTGCAGATTTTCTTTTTGTTATAATAAAAAATATTATTATTATTATTAATTTTTTTTTTTTTTTTTTTTTTACTATTTATTAGTCATTATATTTTTATAATAAATTAATATTAACAGGTAATACTATAACTTTTTCTTCTAGAGTTCTTAATTTAAACACATTTTTAGAAAGCATCTTATGAATATAGAAAGAACCTTTCTATTTTGGCTTGAACTTGATACTTTAATTATATGCAAGAGCTATATAGTAAACTAATACTTTATTACTAATTTATAATTTAGATGAAACTTTGATATATTTGTTATACTGATCTTTTATTTAGTCTAGGCTTGTTGTATTTATGCAACTACTCTACTATAAATTACTAGTAAGTCTTCTATTAATTTCTTCATTCTTTCTTCTATTATTTTGTTAGTATTTTTTCAGTACTATTTTATCTATTGATAACCTTGCTTTGCAGCTATGAACCAAGAAAAATGATATAACCTTGGTAGTTGAGTATCTAGTAATCCTGTATACAAACAAGATCAATAGTACTACTAGGTTCTAGTCTATTATAGTATTCACTGTTTTGGCTATAGCTTCACAGAGTGTCTTATAAAATACTTTACTAACCTATTAGTTTGTAGATAATAGGAGGTAGATAATAGATGCTTAATATAGAACCTTTCAAGTAATTGGTCTACTATTTGATTATGAAAATAGGTTTTCTAATCTGATAATATTTTTTTTGAGTACTCATGTTAACAGATTATTTCATTATACAAAAACTCTGCTACTTTTTAGGCATTAGCAGATTTTATTACTTTAGCCTTAAGCTACTTAGTTATGTAGTTTGTAGCTACAACTATATACTGATTTACTCTAGATATTATGAGTAAAGGTCTGATAATATCAATTCCTATTTAATAGAAAAAAGCAGAGACTAGAATAGGATATAGTAGTCTTTTATTCTTATTTTTATCTCATTTTTGATACTTATCATATCTTTTTATATAGTTTTTAATATCCTTGTATAATTTAGACCAGTAGTACTTAGACCTAATCTTGTGAAATATGGCATCTGCTCTGAAGTATCTTTCTAAAGAATAGTCATATATTAATATTAATATAGTCTCTTTTTAGTATTCTGAGATGATCTTTAACCAGTTATTAGGATTCTGTCTATCTTTTAAGTATAAATTTCCTTCTTTGACTTTCATGTTTTTCTTGTTTCTAATTATCTTTCTTTTTAATTGTAAGTTTAGATTTGATTATATATATTAACTTTTTACGTAATTTTTTAGGATATTATACATGTTAGTTTCTATTTTGAAGTTTTGCTAGAACACTAACAACCTAAACTGAATATTATTTATTATCAGATTTAGATATATTATTCTTTAATCTTCTTTTTTTTTTTTTGGTCTTATTAACTGTTTTCTTTTTACAGATTTCTGATTTTTGAATTTCATTTGATTAGAGTGAATTAATAATAGGAAGTGTCTAGTTCAAATTTGTTATTTCCTAGGTTAGTAGGTTTATCTAATACCTATTATTTAAGCTAGTTAGTTTTATTTCTAAGTTGTAATTAATTTCAGGTTGTCTTTGGTAACTATTTCTTTCTAACTAGGTATACTCTCTACTAGACTTGATAGTCAGTTCTTCTAATAATTCTTCAAATTTTTTTTTCTGCTTAAAGTATTCTTCCATATCTTTATCTTTATCTAAATTCTACTAAGTTTCTCTAGTACTAAGTTAATAATTAGAGGTGAAACCAAACTCACTACTTTCATCAGAATCTTCTTTGTAGGTTAATTTACTTCTAACTATATCTTCAGATTTATTTATATATTCAAGATCTTCTGATTTACTTGTTTCTCCTATTTCACTATCATACTATAGCTCTTTATTTATATCTAACTATTCTAATTTGCTTTCATAGTCCTACAGTATTTCTTCTAATAACTTATAGTAGTATTCAAGGCTTTTGTTATTCTGGCACCACTCATTATATTCTTTTTTTCTTAGGTCTTGTTCTTTTGTTTCTTTACTAACTTCTTTTCTCCTAGCTTCATATTCTGATAAATTTAATAACTAGTCTAGACATTTTATTTCATTTGTTTTTCTTTCTTCTAGAGTTATCAAATAGATTTCTTTTTTTGAACTAATATTGTTATTTCTTTTTTCAGGTTTTCTGAACAATGCATCTGCATTGTTATAGATTTTGCTAGCCCTATACTTAATAATATAGTTATATAGCTATAATCTAAGTATCTATCTTGCTCTTTTTCCTGTAAGCTTAGAGGTGTGTAGCCATTTTAGCATTATATAGTTTGTTACTACTACAAAGAGCTCAAATCTAAAATAATGTTTATAGTATTCAACAGCTCACAACACTGCTAGGCATTCTAATTCTATAGCAGAATAATTCCTTTCTGCTCTAGACAAGCTTCTACTAGCATATGAGATTATATATTCATTATTCTTTTTATCTTTTTGAGCTAGGACTGCTTCTAGACCTATACTAGAAGCATCTACATATAGATAGAAAATCTTTGAAAAATTAGGATACTAGAGAATTGGTATAATCATTAAGTATTCTTTTAATTTTTTGAATACTTTTTGCTGATTTATATCTTATTTATACTCAATATCTTTCTTTAATAATTCATGCAGAGGTCAAGTAATTGGCATAAAACTTTTAATAAATGTAATAGAAGGCCAATTCTATAAATGCCTTTAGTTTTTAAGGATTCTTGACATAGGGTAAGTTCTCACTTTATCAACCTTAGACTTATTTAGCTAGATTCTATTTTGCTCTATAATATAACTAAGAAAGTGAATATTAGCTTTAAAAAAACTATACTTTTCTATATTTACTTTTAAGCCAGCCTTTTCTAATTTATTGAACACCTTATCTAAATATATTAAGTATTTATTAAAGGTATTTGAATAGATATTAATATTATCTATATATACTACAATAAATTTGCTGATATATTTAGCTAAAACTTTATCTATGAGGTACTAGAACATGACTAGAGCATTGCATAATCTGAAGAGTATTACTTTGAACTCATACAGGCTATTTCAAGTAATGAATATAGTCTTCTTTTAGTCTTCTTTGTTTATTCTTATTTGCCAGTACTCACTCTTTAGGTCTAGACTAGAAAACTATTTAGTGGCACTAAATCTTTCTATTAAGTTATTAATGCAGAATAGAAGGTAAGCATCCTTTTTTGTGATGTTATTTAAGTAGCAGTAGTTAATATATATTTGTAATTTACTACTTTTCTTTGGAACTAGAACTATAGGTGAAAACTATAAGCTTTCTAACTTTTGTATTAGTCTTTGTATTATTAGCGAGCTAACTTCTTTGTCTATAAACTTTTGCTCATCAGAGAAGGTTCTGTAAAAATTTTACTTGATCAGTTTAGTATTATCTGTATCTATTCAGTAAATAACTATTTTTGTTTCTTCTAATTTATTTACATTACTCATGAATAAGTGATCTTTCTCTTTAAAGAAATCTCTTACTTTTTTATTTTTTTTTTATTTAACATTTCTTCTTAAATAAATTTATTGATGTATTCTTTTAAGGTAAGTTCTGGGTCTTCTTTGTCTTAGGTAAGTAGGTATTCAGTATTGGTTAGGTAAATGGCTAGGCTACTAATCATATCTTTTTAGAGTTTTAGTATAAGTCACTATTTTCTTCTGCTGACTCTTCAGTATAGTAGCTTTCTATTTTATCTAATATCTTATCTTCATAGATAAATTTGTCAAAGGTGTCTTCACTTTCTTTGTCCTAATTTTTTTTTACTTTAGGTAAATTCATATTCTTAGTACTAGTGTAGAAGATAAGGACTTTAACAGTTTTATTTTAGTAGTTTATGAAGAGCATTTGCTTATTAAAATATAGTCTAGCTCATATCTTTTAAAACTAGTCTATTTCTAACAATAGAGTCTTATCTAATAACTCTATATCTTATAAGATAGTAGAGATTATTAGGTCTTAAATAACAATTTTTATGTTATTCAGTTTATCCAAAGCCTTTGTCTTCGTTCTAGTTGCAGTTATTATAACAGTTGACAATTTTTCTTGAATATGGAGACCTAATCTTTTCATTAATTTTTTGGTCATTATGCTAACTGCTACTCCTGAATTCAGCATAGCAACTACTAGACTTCTTTTAATATGAACTTAGTATCTTGTAGCTATAGTCTTTTTCTTATTATCAAATTTGATATAAGTTGCTTCTTGTACTTGAGATAACTTTCTTCTTAAGGCTTCTACTAATATTCTTCTTTAGTTAAGATATTGGAGTAGTTGACTATAAGTAATATTTGTTTTTGCATTTAGAAGATCTTTTGTGATATTATAAAAGGAGAGTCTATTCACTACTAATAGCTCATGTTTATACTAAGGCTTTCTTAATGCAAATATGTCTTTGTTTATTATATCCTTAGAGTCTTTTTTATTATTAAACGTAGTTTTTAGTTATTTACTCTTTACCTGAATCTATTTTTCTACTTAGATTCTGATTATACTTAGGGTCTTTTTTTATTG